GTCTCGAACTCCAGACATCAAGTGATCCACCCACCTCCACCTCCCAAAGTGCTGGGATTACAGGCGTAAGCCACTGCATCTGGTCCAAATGGTTGATTTCTTGATACTGTCTTATAACATGGTGGTAGGCATTGGTAAGCAAGAATAAGAGCTTGCCATCCAGGAGGTAACTGCTGTGACTGGGGAGGTGCAGGATGTGGTAGAGCACAGAGAAAGCAGTCTTCTAGACTAGAAGTGCGAGGCCAGGCCCCTCCCCACCCCGGGAAGCGGCGTCTAAGTAGAGCACAGTGAAGAGTTAAGCTGGGTGGAAGGAGTAAGTAACTGATGAGTAAGAGTTAAGCCAGGCAGGAGGAGGGGGAGAAAAGTGCCCCTGGCAGAGGGAGCAGTGTGTGGGAGAGAGGCAGGCATAGTCATGCAATGGAAGTGACTGATCCCAGACCATGAGGGAGAACCAGATGAGAATCAGGGCTGGAGAGGAGGATGAGGGCCAGATCATTTGGGATCTTATAGGCCATTACATGGAGTTCAGACAGTATCCACAGAGCAAGAGGAAATCACAGAAGGGTTTGAAGTGGCATGACTAAATTAAGAGACAGGGTCTTACTGTGTTGCCCTGGGCTGGAAGTGCAGTGGCACAGTCACAGCTCACTGCAACCTCAAATAAGTCCTAGGTTCGAGTGAACTTCCCACCTTAGCCTCCCGAGTAGTTGGAACTAAAGGTATGTACCACCAGGCCTGGCTAATACTTTGTTTTTTTTAAGATACGGGGTCTCGCTAAAGTTGCCCAGGCTTGTCTCAAATCCTGGGCCCAGTCGATCTTCCTCCTCCTGCCTCTGCCTCCCAAAGCACTGGGATTACAGGTGTGAGCCACTGCATGCAGCCAAAATGTGTATTTTTAAAGTTGTCTTGACTTGAGTGTGGAAGCCAGGAGGGCTTTTAGGAGGCCTTTTCAGTAATCCAGTAGTGTTGGTGAAGATCAAGCTGGATCATGAGATAGATTCAGCAGGACCTTGATGAAAGAATGAATGAGAGGGAGAATAGAGTGACCACCAGGTCTGTGGCTTGGGCAGCTGAGTGGAAGGTAGCATCTTACTGAAATCTGGAGCCAACGAGGACAGGTCATTGAGGGAGCATGTTTAGTTTTGGGTATGTCGAGCATGAAGTTGCTGTGGAATATTTCCAAATAGATGTTTTCAGGAGGCAAAAAAGTTCTTTTTTTTTTTGAGACAGAGTCTCACTGTGCCCAGGCTGGAGTGCAGTGGCGCAATCTTGTCTCACTGCAAGCTCCACCTCCCGGGTTCAAGAGATTCTCCTGCCTCAGCCCCCTGAGCAGCTGGGACTACAGGTGCCTGCCACCACACCTGGCTAATTTTTTGTATTTTTGGTAGAGATGGGGTTTCACTGTGTTAGCCAGGATGGTCTCGATCTCCTGATCTTGTGATCTGCCCGCCTCGGCCTCCCAAAGTGCTGGGATTACAGGCATGAGCCACCGCGCCCGGCCTCAAAAAAGTTCTTAAACCTTGTGTTACCAACTAAACTACGAGATATATGGCCATACTTAAGTCCATTAAAGATTCTCCTTGTTCTTCCATCTCTCAGTTGTTTCTGAGAGTCATTCATGTTTCTCTCTCTTTCAATGTGACCGTAGACTGGAAGCTGCACCTTTCTGCATCTGTTTCCTTATCTAAAACGAAAAGGCAGAAGATGATCTTCCCAAGCTCTGTAGGCTTAAACCTTCATCAGACGCTCTGCAGTTCTTTGGTTTCAAAGGGATTACAGGGTGGAGTTGGAAGTTTCTAGTCCTTGTTTTTCAGAATCCAATTTGAGCTCTTCTGGTTGCATATTCTCATGCTAAGAAAAAAAGCCTATTCAGATGTATATTGTGAGCCCTCAACAACATTATCCTCAGAAGGTGCAAAAAAGAAAAGATGTAGCCAGATTGGGGCAATGGGAAAGGATTTGCCCAGCCTCTCAGGAGGGACGGATTAGGCCCAGACAAAAAAGCCCTGGCCTCTTGATCTGCCCTCTTTCTGCTCACTGGGGCCTGGCTCACTCTGGGTGGTCAAGAGCCTCTTTTGTCAAGAGGAATCTCACCCCCTCCCTAAACTCCAATTCATCCCAGTGGGCCTTGGGCAGCAATCTTTGTCTTCTTTTTTCAGCCTTCCATCCTGTAAAGTTTGAGCAGGATGATGGGCAGTGACTCAGGAAGGTGAAACCCATCAGGGCCTTGCCTCCTGCTTCAGTGGGGAGTCCTTGTGAAGGGCTTGCGCTGTGGAAAACCGGTCTCTCTAGCTTTTGTAATTTTCTCAAGCAACGAAAAAGCAAATAAATGCAAAAAGCTCATTCTGCTTTAATACCCACTTCCATCAAAGGGGAGTGTATGTGTGTGTTAGGAGAGTGCTCAGGCTCCTACTGAAAAGTTAGGTGTTTGTAAGGCCTGCTTCAGGTGCGATGCTGACCTGGTCAGGCCATGTATCTTTTGATGTTTATGGTAACTCCACATTCCTTCATGAGGGGAGAAGGGAGACAGATGATAAGATGTATCAAGGGATTTATCAAGTGTAAGTTCACCTTCATCTCTTTTAGACTTCTGCCTTACCACTACTTTACTATTACTCAGCAATTTTGAGTTTAGGGAATTTCAGAGCAAATCCTCTTTTCTGCTGGCCTAGGTTTTGTGCATATGTTAATGGTGAATTGTCTCTAAGCATCAGTAAAGAACTAATGGGAAGTAATGCTTCAGGATAAAAATAGAGAAAGGTCTGAAAATCATAAATTCCAGCAGTCAGGCTGACATTGAAATCTGATTCCAGCTTATCTCTGTTGCTTATCTCTTTAGGATCAGATATCTTAAAGGACATATTCATTTCATTTTTTTTAAGTTTCTAAAGGAAGAACCCACTGATCAGGTGGTTCTCTACCCACCCCACCCCAGTTAGCCAGGACGACAAGGAAGGACCACTGACAGGCTGCAGGCCAAACACGTTCCCCCTGAGGGCTCTGTCATTTGGAATCAGTTGTATGTATCAGTTTTATAGTCTTTATAGCTTTATAGTCTTCCACTATCACAGTGGGAACAGACAAGCATAGGCCACAGATGAGTGTATGAGGATTTAAAAGACTCAGAATGTCTTAAAATAGCCTGGTGGCTAAACAACAATAATAGCTTGGCATTCCTGAGAATGGTTGTTTGTTTAAAATTCAAGGCGTCGGTTCTGGTAGCAGTTAGTTTCCACTAGCTGGGCTCCCACATTAGTTACTCTGGAAATCACAGTCTCATCACAACAGGAAGCACAGGGATCTATTAAGCTCCTCCCAGCCCTTCTGAGGGTGGTCCCTAAGCCTTGGGCTACAGGCACCTACACACCCTAGAACACAGTAGATGTTGTAGACCTGATCATTTTAAGGACTGTAGTGATGTTATTGTTAACCTGACTAAATAATAATAATCAGTCCACTCTTAGGGGCTTATTTCTCCCACCTAGATACACAGGCAGTCTGTCTTTCCATCACCAAGTCCTGAGGAGGTAGCTTTTACTGCCTTGTTGAGAGGAGGGAATCGGTAAGGCTAACCAGCAACAGTATGTTAAATCACATTGTTGGGGTCCCATCATATTTGGAAATGGGTACAAACTGCCCTCTGAACGTATCATTAGCAGTCAGCTCTTGACTCCCTACCATCCTCAGAGAAGCTCGTGCCATGCAAGCTGGGCTGTGGGGAAGCCTCACCTACCCCCTGCCCACCAGATCCACATTCACCCACAGGCTCTGCTACTTTCTGGTTTCTCCGTAGAGCAGTCCCACATCACACCGAGCAAAGCAGTTTTCTGTTGCTAGTCCCCTTTCCGTATTGGAAAGTTTTGGGGGATGGGAAGGATACAGAGACACTGGGCCTGGAATGGCTCCTTAGATGGTGGGAAGGAATAAAGTGACTCTGTTGACCTTGGGTCACATGCACTGTAGACTTAGGGAAAGTCCTGAATGGCAGAGTTACTAATGACTATCAAATCACCTTTTGCTGACTCCCGTGGCAGTCCTGGATAGCGTCCTTGGCATACTTGATTTCAGATTTTGACAGGTGATAAAAGCACATCTTGAGATTGCTGCTTCACAGGGCCCAGATTCCTTGCTATTGACTGATGTTATTTTTGCCTTTCCTGAGAAGCTCCCTCATGTGTTTGCTGTTACTTTTAATGGATTGCTTCCTGATACATAGGAGGCCCAGGCACTTGCCCTTCAATCGGGCCAACTGCAGCCTGACCTGGGTGGAATTGGAGCTGCCTGAGGAACACTTAGACCAGGCGCTTGGCAACATGACTCACTTTTTCCCCCTAAAAGTTAGTCTGTAAAGAGCAACTGGAAATGTTTACATCTTTGTGGAGTGTACTTTTAATTAGGATTCTCAAGGTTTTTCACCTCAATTCTCTGAATTTTTAAGATCTTAAATGCCCTGTGGTCACAGTATTTGGCCCTGTACTTCTGGGGGCTACATGGAAAATGCTTGATGATCATGACTGACTTGTCAATAGTAATTATGCCAATAAACAGAAAAGCCTTCCAGTTCTGGTCTGTTGAGGCCCTGCCGTTAAGCCATTGTTTTCCCAAAGGCTCTGCAGTGGGTTCTCATGGGATATCTTTCATTGGTTCTTTCTCTCCCTTTTCCTCAGAGGGCCACATTTTCTGTTTTGTGCAGGAAATTCCCACTGTTTTGGGTTCCCCAGCTACAGTTGGAAAGACATCAGAGTGTTCAAGGCAGAGTCCAGGCCTGAGATCTCAGCAGGCCAGACAGACAGCAGATGCTTGTTGCTTTTCTTGTTATATTTTTCGTTCCTTGCTTAGCACTTATGGGACCAAAGCCAACAAACAACAGGTTGTGAAAAGAATGAGAGTCATTTGGCTTCTGACATTGACTGGGGCTCGGGGTTTTGGGGTGTTTTGTTTTCTGATTTGAAACTAGCTGTTTGGTAACCACTAACTCTCGCCTTATTCTTTTCTTGCAGATGAGCTCACAGTGCCTGCACTTTACCCCAGTAGCCCTGAAGTGTGGGCCCCGTACCCTCTGTACCCAGCGGAGTTAGCGCCTGCTCTACCTCCTCCTGCTTTCACCTATCCCGCTTCACTGCATGCCCAGGTAATTGATACCCATCGGCCACGACTTCACTCACTCCACCTCCAGTCCTTTCAAACTTGGTTCCCCAGAGCACACCATACAACTAACACCTATCCAGCTAACAGATCCACCTTCAAGAGATTAATGATCCCCTCTAAATCAAGCTGACACTCCTTCAGGACTTACGAGGATCGTCTGACAGCAATGATATCACCCACTGCCTGATGTTTGCCCCAAATGACACCTCTCTCTTCCTTAATGATCTCACCTCATATCGCACATGAGAGACTGGGGCAAGTTTATCCACTTGGCTCCCAGCTAGCTAGAGGGCATCACCGGAGCGTACACGTGTGTGCCTTGTGTGGAAGGGCTACAGAGGAAGGTGTGTGCTAGGAGCAGGGGATATGTGCGTCTGTGCGTGTTTCTGTGTGTTGAGAGTTTTCCACTCTCGTGTACTGTGAGAAGAATCTCTGACCAAAGGGAAAGCTTCCATGGGGGAAGGCTATACTTTCCTAAATATGTTACAAGAAAGATTAAGGGTTCCTTTTCTCCATTTTCAGGAAACCCTGTAGAAAAGGAGGTACAAGATAGTGTCTAAGATGGAATTACAGGTCAAGGTAGAGATCTCTATTCTGACCAGCTTGCTTTCTTAGTTAAAAATAGCCTGATTTTTATAAACAAACTTCCTGTTTCTCCACAAAGGTTACTATCTACATACTAACACTTCCTCTCCCCTTGGAGAAAATACTCTCTTAGCTTTGCTTTTAGCGCAAGTAGTAGTAATCAGTATAAAGATTCACCTTTGGAGATCACTCATTCTTTGGCCTGCAAAGATTGATGACCAGTAACAAATAGAAAGTACGTATGTAGGTTTCATTTATCTTTCTGCATGTGTAATTCAGCCTTTAAGTTTTAAATTTTCAAAAATTATTAGGCTGGACAGGCGGAGTTTTCATTTGCTTGTTTTGCTCAGTGTTTGTTTACAAGGCTGGATGAAATAAACAGCTTCCCAGAAAACTTCCTTCTGACTTAAAACTCTTTTATGTTGTACAGAATTCACTGTCTTGATAAAGACCACCTAGAAGCAGCCCTCAGTGAGGGTTCTTGAAAGTCATGGGGTCAAGATTGTTGTTGGCTGAACATCTTTTAACTCTTTTCGCTGAGTTACCAACACATTGTGCGTGCATTGACGACCCGGCTTCCTGGGCTGCCTTTGGTGCCTGAGCCCCAGTAATGATTGCCCTCTGTGTTGGGAGAAGAAGGGAGAAAGTAGTACAAGTAGTGAAGAAAAAAATGTAGGTGGTGGTGGTGGTGAGAGTACATGGCATAGAAAATAAAGGAGCCAGGATTACTTGTGCCTTTGGCTTCTCCTTTCCTGCTGCTTTTTCTTCCTTTTTCCATGTCAGTGCTTGAGAACCCTCACAACTGGCAGGTAACGGGGTGAGGGGATAAAATGTAAACCTGTAGGTTTCTCTGCTGAGTCATTAGGATCTTTGTAGCAGGCTGCGGATAAATGTGTGGATGACATGGGGCAACTAAGAGCCCCTTTTGCTTGCCACCTCCCACCCCTGCTCTGGATGGTGTCCCCTCTTGCTGGACTGCCGGGTACAGATCAAGTGGCAGTTAAGGCAAATGTTAATAAATACCATGAAACAGTGGTTTGCATAGTCTTCTGAATAGCCGTATCAAGAGTTGACAACGGCCAGAAAGTACTGGGAATGGTGGCTTTTGGATATGACATCTGCCCATTCTTCATTCATGTAATGGGTAAAATCAGAAGTAATTCTGGAGATACGGTATGGTAAGAGAAGGGCCTAAAGAGTCTCAAGAGATTAGAAAGTATATGCCATTGTAAGGAAGGATGGGGAGAGACAGTGCCAAGAGTAGATGGACTCAGCCATTTGACTTAATGGGATGTATTGCCCATGGTGGCACCCTCCCCTGGGAGTTCTTGATCTTGAGACTTTCCCAAACTGGAATCCACTTAGCTCTGCCACATCGGTCCCAGATTTGGTGGGACTCTCATCTGATACCAGTTTTCAACGCCACTTCTTGTTTGGAGTCATTCCCAGTGCAGGCATGGACTCTGTGAACAAATTCCATTATTTAAATTTATTTGTGCAGTATGAGAATCAGAATGAGCTAGTAGAGGCTCTACAGATCAGCTGGTCTGACCCATTTGACAGATGAGGAAACAGGCCTGAGAAGATGGAGGGAGCTACCCACAATCTGAAGTGGCTCTGCCATGACTAGACCCAGGTCACCTGCCTCCCAGGCCTGGCTCTTTCCACTCCAAGGTGCTGGCTCACCACAGACTTATTCTTTAATGGAATTTTGGAAAGGCCTCACTCCAGTGACTCCTTGGATCTTTCTTCTCTAAGTAGATGGGAAGCCTGTAAGAAGAGACTTGGAGGCAAAGCAAAGGGAATCAGCACTTAACCTTCACCCAAAGGGCCCAAGAGAATCTTTATTAACTGGAGGTAGAGCAGACTGGAGCCTTTACGGGGCATCTCCCCATATTGGATAATTCAGTTTTTGTTTTGGAAATCTTATAATGTCTTTGGAGAGGCTTAAATTTTGTTTTTCTTAGCAATGTTATGCTCTATTTTGAGACATGGATTTTTTTTTTCTTCTAGTGTTTCTCTCCTGAGGCAAAGCCCAACACACCTGTCTTTTGTCCACTTCTCCAGCAAATTAGATTTGTCTCTGGGAATGTGTTTGTAACATACCAACCTACTGCAGACCAGCAGAGGGAGCTCCCATGTTGAATTTGTTAGCTATCTTTCCCCCCTTTCGCAAAAACTATTTCTTGACGACCTTTGAGAGATTTCAATAAAAATTTTAATCAGAGCAAAAATGATCTCAAGTAGACTGCAGCGTTTTGTTTTCATGGTGATGCAATGTTGGAGCAAAGGTGTTACTCTCTGACTGAGGTTTTGGGAGAATTGGGCCTGTGACACCAAGTCTATTTTACATAGAAGGACTCAGAACGAGCTTGCTGGAGAGGCCAGGTCCTGGAGCCGAGGTCACACCACTGCTGCTTCTCTCTGCCTGGGCTCCCGGAAGAGCCACCAAGAGCTGCATGTTGGAAGCATCTCATCCACCAGGAGACCTCACTTCAGCAGGGATGCTGCATCTAGCTAGGGGAGCCCTTGTGAAATGTACGGGTGCAGTGTCCAGTCTGCCCACTGGGATCCACAGGAAGGAAGACCAGGAGACAAAGTGTCATTGAAAAGAAGTTGAGTCACATTTCTAGCTCTGCCTCGGCTTCAGCTGTGGTCTGGTACCCGTTCAGATTTCCCATCTCTAAAGTAAGGATACTTATTTGCCATCAGATCCCGTTTTTTAGAAATTATTGGATAAGGTAATAGGACTGAAAGCCTCAGTACTGACTTAATGTTTAGAGATGAAAGAGCGACCTTGTGCAGCAGACGTTGGATTGCTAAGAAGATCGTTAACATTTTTAAAAGTGATCATCCAGTTTACTTTCAAGGTCATTGGTATTTGAAATGTATTAATTAGGAGAGGAAGCTTTCATCTGTTGCTTTCAAAAAGCTTATACACTGAGGAGAGCACACAGCTGTTCTGTCACCTCACATTCACACACTTGCGCTTCTTAGGTTTGAGCTCATGTTTTGCTTTCTGTCTTGTGATGGGGCAGAGAGAAAGTTGGTAAAGTATACTGTCCTTACCACATTCTCAAAACACACCACCATGCACCCTCTACTTCAGGCAGAGTCACAGTGTGCGGCCAGAAGCTTCTGTAGGTAAGTAGGACTGAGAGAGAAAGTCCTGGTTACCTGATTCCTCTTCAGAGGCCTCATTTGTCCAGGGTTAACAGCAGTTCTCTCGGATTTCTAATAGGGCTGCTGTACGGCTTACCTGGACATAAACCAAACGTTTTAAAATTATAACACAGACTGCCTGAGGACAAGGCATGCATGTCCCTTGGGATGGCCCTGTGTGACACACTGGAAAAATTTTAAAGGTTAAACCCAAAATAAATACAGAAGTGGACCATGGGAAGAGAGACATAGGCTAACCAGGAAGGGAACTCAGAGAGGAGTAGATGGGCCTGGGAATAGTGGGCGGACTACCCAAACTGCAGGGCTGTCCCCACCACCCCTGTATCTGAGCATTTGCTCATCAGCAGGGTGGGACTTCTGAAAACTAGATTTTAAGAAAAGCAAATTGTGTGAAGCATCTGCATCACTGTGCCCTGTAGGAAACACTGAGGCCAAAGACACAAGGACTTCCGCTTTGGTGTCAGGTATGTTTTGAATACATAGGGTATTGGGGGGTGACTCGAGGGCAGTGCTGCGTATGGACCTCAGTGTGCACGCGGCTCCTTAGGAGTCTCCCAGCAGCGAGACAGCTGTGGATCCCCTCCAGGTGCATGGGCGGCTCACAGGGCAAGGACTCTGATGGTTTTGGCTTCCACCTCCTGTACAGTGGCCAGTGCTGTAAGGGTCGTTGGTCCCACAGGGAAACCTGTGAACAGAGCCATGTCTGGGGCCCCAGGAAGATGGCTTCAACACCCCACCTGGCAGTCCTGCCTCCCCAAAGTAAGGCAGGAGTCCGGAGATTCCTGGTGCTTGCTTCTGTGAATCTCAGGTCACTTTAGCACTTGACCCCTGACTGCTTGGTCCTTGAGGCCTGGGCTTCCTAAGGTACATACTGTCTACTCCAGAGCTGTGGCTGTGGCTGTGACTGTTCGGAAAACCACGGCTTTGAAGGACTGCAGAGCTTGCCTTTGCGGCTGTTCTGCCCAAGGCCTTCCATTGTTTTCAGACATAAATGAAACTGTTAATCCTCTGACATTTACCTTTCCCTCTCAACCTGCAGCTCTGTGAAGGTCAGACTGTGAGAAGCCACCCCTCTAGCGCTCCGTCTCCTGATAGTGCCAGCCTGGCCTGGTTTCCTGTTTGGTGAGGCTTTCTAGGAGCACCTGGCTTAGCTCTCACAGGAGGAGGGGAGGAGGGGGAGGCCAGGCCTCATGCTCACAGCGCCAGCCTCCTGTGAGAGTGGGCTGGGTCTCCTTTCCTTTCCCAGGCCCTTCCTGGGGCGATTTCTATGCCTGCCTCCTGATGCAGGGCCTGTGCTCTGAGCTGTGCCTTTCAGGAGAGCTCTGCGGGGCTTCATTTCCTTTCTCAGCTCGTGGCAGGAATGTAGGGTCGAAAGGACAGGCTCTGGAACTCCCTGGCCAGACACGAGCTCTGCCATTTACACGCTGTGCGACCTCAGTTGAGCAAATTTCTTAACCTCTCTGGGCTTCAGGAAAAGGGCCAATAATCCTTCACTTAAGAGAGTGCCCGGCATATTAGAAGGGCTTCATAAATGTTTGTTTTAAAGGTAGCCCTTCCCAGGGATCTTTTAAGGGGCACTTGAATTTTCAGTAAGGAGAAGGAAGCCCAGACTAAGCCTTAGCTACCCACAAGGCAGTGACAGTTAAGACAGGATGGTCAGCACATGTGGATGACGCCAACGGGGGCTGCAGAGGCCTCACAGCTGGAGCCAAATGGAAGACTGGAAAGCATGAAGGAATGACGGGAGTAAGATGAGGCATTGCAGTGGGAGCGCCACCCACAGCACCGACTGACAGCACCTGCCCTGCTCCTGGCAGTGTGATCTCCACAGCTTTTGCCAGCACTGGGAGAGCTTATCCCCAAGAGGGGCCTCCCCAAACCAGGCCGGACACGGCCACCAGCCCACCCTTCTGACAGGAAATACATCCGGGGTGGAGGGGGCTGGGCAGCTGAAACCCCAGAGACGGAATGGCCCTTGCCCTCGCAAGTTACTTTACACAAACCCGCTGTCCCTGACCTTTCCAGCTGTGGCCTTATCTCACTTTCCTATCGGAGAAACTGGAGAAAGAACCACAGGTCACCCAGCCCATTCCTCCCTGGACTTTCTGGCACTTTCTTCCCACAGTCCTTTTGCTAGGATTCTCCTCAGCCTCATTTCCAGGCAAATTGAGTTACATCTTGTACTTGGGGAGATTGTTCTCTTCACAGTTCTGCCATGAAAGCCGAGAATCCACCCCCGTCCAGGCAGATGCTCTCTCCCTGGCGACCCTCTCCGCCTCTTCCCTCATTTGCAGTGAGACAGACATCAGCATTTTGTCCTCCAAAAGCATCCATCCAGGGTGTTAGGGAGAGGTGTGCTTTTGTCCAGAGCTGCTGCAACTGAGGCCCAGGCCTCTTCATGTTGGGCAGTTTTAGAAGGAAATGCTGTTCAGAAACCAGAGTCAGTCCCCTAGTATATGGCTGTGTGACTTTGGCCAGGGTCACTCACCCCAAGGAGACTTCCCTAGAAATCACAGTATTAATCAGGATGGGCAGAACATCTCAACATGGGCCTCCTCCTGACTGCGGGCAGCATTGCTCTCCATTACTCCAGTACTCTCCATTACTCCAGTACTCTCCATTTGGTACACTGTTTTCCAGGTTTCTAGGTGGGTTCCATGTTGTCCTTTGCGGAAGGTTAACCTCCCCAGATCCTGCACACCTTCTCCCCTGTCCTTATTAGCAGTAAGAGCCCAACCCTGAGTCCCAACAAGTTGCACCTGGAAGTGCCGTCTGCACTCGGCTGTTCCCTGGGATTAACAGCCGTGTGGCCCAACTGTCACAGTCAGGTGTTGCTGAGGGCCTGGCACCTAACTGGGACTCAGTTTTTTAAATCAAACCAGATTTTAATGACAGTTTCTATCCACTCTACTAAATTTGGGATCCTAGGCAAGTTGGTTTTAACTGCACTGAGACTTAGTTTCATCATCTATAAATGGGAAGAATGATCATCTCCATGGGTTTATTTTGCAGGAAACAGTAACATGTTTGGCTTAAAGTCATAGTTATGATTAAAATAGCTCTTCCAATGCCTTCCATTTGTCAGGATTTGATCTGGTGTGGCCCAGAGGCTCCTGAGCCCTCCCTGTAAGCTTGAGGAGCACTTAGGACACAGGGACTCCTGACCAGGACCCCGATAAGAGAAACCTAAGGGCTCGGGCTGTTTACTTTGGTAAAGAAGAGAAGCACTGGAGCCAGGGCGAGAATGGTCCGTGGCTGTGGCGTATACCGAGACGAGGCTCTCTGGTTGGGTCAGCTGGCTGTGTACCCAAGGTTTTTGTCTTCCTTCTGTAGGCATAGGTACCTGGATGCCATCCGGAAAGTATGTGAACTCTAACTGCTTTGGAAACAAAACCAGGGCTGCAGAGAAACTTTGGAATTATAAAATGTAGCCTTCATAAAAGGGGAAAGTGAACTTTTCTGTGAAGAAAACCAATTGTGACAGTAGGGGAAAAGGAAAATCAACTCCAAATGGAATCATGTTTTATTCAGGATTTGTGCTGCCGGTGGGGAAGGCCAGACCCAGCGACAGGATGGGAAAGTGGGGCGCCCCAACTTCAAGCTTTGTGCGTTCTGCCACGAAGTTCTATGCGCTTCACTGAGCTCAGCTCCTGGGGACCTCTAATGGCCCTTGATAGCAAACATAGTTAAAAATTAACAGACTGACAGAATTAAATATGGATGACAAGCAACCACTGTGGACTTAATCTGACACAGGGTGTTACACGCTTGGGTGCCTTTAACCCAAGTGGCATCTCGAGTGAACTTCTGAGATGTCTGGGCACATTTCACATGCCTGTTTGGAAGCAGAGCCTAGCTTGTGCTTAGGACAGACAGGAAAAGAGTCTAAGAGCCCAGGAGAGAAAATTCTCCCTGGAGGCTTCTGTTTAATTAAACCCGGCTTTGATCGGGCTTACCAGGATGTACTCAGAGTCCTAGGACCTTGTCCTTGTGGTCTAGACCTTGTCCCTGCCTGGGCTCGGACCTCAGTAGCACCTGCCATCATGACTGG